CCCCCGCCACTACCATGCTTAGCGTGGACGACAATGCGTCAGGTAGAGTAAAGCAGAAGATTTGTTTTCACTAAATGAATCTACACTGACTTTAGGTGTAAATGTGAGTGTGAATGAATGACTGCCAGGAGTGGCAGAAGAATGAGTAATTCTTGCCTTTACAGTAAGAAGGTCACTGGTTCAATTCCCTGGTTGATCCTTCTGTATAGAGTTTGCATGTTCCCAGCGTTCTTCTGTGTTCCTCCCAATAGGGGAATAGGTTGTTTGGACACTCTAAATCATTGTTTCTCAAAGACTGGGTCGTGACCCTCAGGTGGGTCACATGAGGTTTTTTTGGGGTTGTCTCGCATCACGTTTCCCAGGAGTTTACGAATAATGTCTATTGACTTGGGTCGCAAAGGTTTGTAACTTTTAAAATATGTTTCCCCAGAAAAAAAGTTTGGGAAACACTGCTCAAACCCTAGGCCCGTGGGCCAAATGCGGCCCACAAAGTCAATTTCTGTGCCCCACAGTAGCTTAAAAAGGATTTACCTTGTCTATACAGTCTTGCAGTTACAACTGACCCTTCATGGGGAACTGTATTGCTGATGCCCCCGCCCCCTCCCCGTTGAAAATTTGACTTTCACAACCCGACCTAAATTGACAATTGGTATATAACTTTTTTTTTAATTGGTAAATAACAAACATGGTGACGGATGAATGAAAGTTCTTTTGTGTGTGTGTGTATGTTTAGAAGTCTAAAAACTGCTGCACTAGCAGATATTCAGTTGTGTCTGTTTTATCTCCCAGCAGCGCCCTCTGTCAACACTGACCTGCAGGGAGCGAAAAAAGAGGTAGTGGAGGTATCGGAGGAGGAGGAGGAAAAGCTTTTGGCAGAAGTGTCCAAGCTGGTAACAAATGTTTTCTCCAAAAAACCCCCTACCAGATGTTGAATGCTCGCTTCCTGTCCTGCTTCACTGTCCCCGCCCTCCTGGCCACCATTCAGCCAATGACCTGTGAGGAAAGAGAGGAGAATGAAGAGGACGATGAGCAGGAGGAGGTGTTCAAGAAAATGAAAGAACACGGGAGGCGGAGGAGAGCACAGGTGAGACGCAGGTTTTATGTTTTAATTAAAAATATTTTAATAGCTTTACTACTTCCTTGTTTACTTATTTATTTGTTTTGTATTTTATATAAATCTTTGTTGGTGTGTGAGGAATCAGGAAATCCAACTTATTACATCTCAGGAATACGCTACAACATTTGAAGTCCCTGATACAAGAACTGAGCCTAACTAATAATCAGGTCACGGCGTTGTCCATCATGTGTTCATGGTAATATTGTTGTTTTTTTTTTATTTCAACATCATCCAAGTGTTTTTGAGTGTGGTCAAACAAATTCCAACATTTCAAATCATATGTTCACATTTTAGTGTTTTTCAAGGTTTTAACATGAAAATATTTCCCATTTGAACCATCACTGTAATAAGAAAAAAATATTTTAGGAAATGTCAAAGCTTGGTTTTCTTAGACGATTCGTGGATGTCTTACTGCAGGGGAATCACAGTTGTGATGTCAGTTTTAAAGGAAGTTGAAAGTTTCAGGTGCATTCAGGAACCCCAGAGTGATGAAATCGATTTAAAACCGAAAGTGTCGCAACTTTTATTTTTTGTAAACAGTTTCTGTGCAGAAAAGTTTGTGTTATTATGGAAAGAATATTTTTGGATTAAAGTGAAAGAGAAATAAATCTGTGTTCTTCGTTTTCTGCAGCTAATAACACCCCTAAGTTAAGCTTACCAATTTCATCAGAAATGCATGCTGCTTTGTGGTGAACTGCTTGCAAGTGATGCATTGTGGGTAACTTGTTAGTCATCTGTTGAGGGTTGTATTCAAGGTCTGTTTTACTGTAGGAATTTAGTGATAACCATTTGTGATTCTCTAGGTCTCTAGAAAATGACTGGACCAGATTTGGCCAGATTTGGCCACTGTTTGATTAGATCACCTCTGGACTATCTTAGCATTGGACAGCACAACTAAAGGCTTTTTGAAGAAAAAAAAAACTTGGATTAGATTATTTATACTGAAAGTGTATCTAATGTCCTTTCTCCTGTAAACATTGGGTGGCGCTGTGACGGGACACTAAGGGCCCACTTAAGGAACCTGCTGTGAGGAACCAAATAGTTATGTTATTGCAATGACATGTTTGGTCTTCTGGGTGTATCTGGAATCACTTCTCACCATGACTTGTTTATTTTATTCTTTAAATTCTCACTTCCTGTTCCTGTTTGACTGAGGAATAAACTGACAGAGGGTCATTGGCTGCAGTTATAACAGCAGACCATAATGAACCTGTATCGACAAATAAACAAGTGCTGGTGTAATCTGACTTTGGGGGTCGGGGGGCACAAGTGGTCAGCGACCTCCAGTTTTGACTGTAGTGGGCCCTGTGTATAGATTTGACTTAAAGTGCTGCGAGATTTATGGAAAACCTGCATCAGCAGTGATCACAGAGGGTGGAGTTTGAGGGGAAAAGAGGAAGTGAGAAGAATTACTTTCTTTCTAAAACAACTAAAAACAGAAACAATG